GGCTGACGGGAAAACTCTTGTCGATATGTGGAAGAGAACCTGGAGCTGGACCTCGCACTGAACCTCTCGTCTTGGAATGTACATACAGCATTCATTAGGTTGTGGACCACGTATGTAAGACCAGAGTTGTTATGTGTGGCACCAGCATAGAGCCCACACCATCACAATGTATGTCGGAAGTAGCTTTTAATATTTAATGGAATGTCATTTTTGCCAATGATAATAACTCTTGTATAAAATTTGTGTGGATTCCATCCCATGTTGGAGTTGGAAAACATGACTTTGTAGATCAATTGGCCAATGAGGCTTGCAGGAAAGAAAACATTGATTATGACTTTGGACTATCTAATGCAATTATTAGAAACATACAGATTAAAGAAATTAATTCAGATTTAGAAGAACTAAGAAATGCCCAGAGACCTGAAAGCTGCAGTATTAAAAGTTATGACAAGTTTTGTAATAATAGGTATTTGTATGGTCAGCACAGTAACCGGACCAGGCAATGTGATGTAGTCATTGCGCGAATTTGCCTTGGCTATAGACACATCTGGCAGGTTAGTGAGGCTGAGCCACTACCAGAATACTCAGATAATAAACTCTGTGATAAACCATTAATGCATTCACTAGAACACGACATTGTTGAATGTGAAACTATAAAGGACTTTAGACCTCCTGGCCTCTTGTACTACCAACTATGTAACTATTTTTTTTGACTCAGGTGTTCTGGACGACATCCTAACAATTTATCCAAAATTTGCTTGTTCATTTTAAAGAATGAAGAACAATTTTTATTTATATTACTTCTAAGCTGCATCACTTATGAACCCATCCCTGCTCTTGTGTGGCAATGCACAATAGAAAGTTATTTTCACATATCCAAACATTAAAACATTGATTGTAACCATGATATATATGTGCTTCAGCCTACAGTTTAGACCTATTGTCTTTTGTATGACTCTCTGTCCTGCGTGACAGTGAATACCAGCATTATCCTCACTTAAGACTTAATCGAAATCCTCAGATTAGGCAAAATTGTAATTAATTTTATCAATAAAAATGTTAATGATAATAAATATCATGGAGGCCACACCCTGTTTGTTGCCCTAGCATTGAGTCCACACCCAATTGGTCTTGGAA